AGCTTTTTTAGGTGGAAGAAATATTTTTGATGGAGTCATGATTGCTAATGAGGTTGTGGATTGGTGGAAGAAGTCAAAAGGGAAGGGAGTCATTTTAAAGCTTGACTTTGAAAAAGCATATGATTCAATTAATTGGGAGTATCTACTTTCCATGATGGCAAATTTAGGGTTCGGAGAAAGGTGGATTAGATGGATAAAAACTTGTGTTACCACAGCTAGAGTTTCTGTCTTAGTTAATGGATCTCCGTCGAATGAATTCTGCCCCCAAAAGGGGTTGAGACAGGGTGATCCGCTGTCACCCTTCCTGTTCAATGTTGCAGCAGAAGGGTTGAATCTGCTGTTGGAAAGGGCTAAGAGTTTGGGTGTAATAAAAGGAGCTACTGTTGGATCTACAGGGTTGAAATTATCTCACCTCCAGTTTGCAGATGATACTCTCTTATTTTGTGCAGCAGAGTGGGAGGAGATTGTTAATGTCAAAAGAATTCTTAGATGCTTTGAGGTGATGTCAGGGCTGACAATTAATTTTCATAAAAGTGTGGTGTGTGGTGTAGGCATAAGTGATGATCAGGTTCAGGTATTTGCTTCGTCTATGCATTGTGTAACTCAGATGTTACCTATCAAGTATTTAGGTTTACCTCTTGGTGCAAATCCGAGAAGAACAAAAACTTGGCAACATGTGGTGGATAAGGTTAAGTCAAGATTAGCTCTTTGGAAAAGGAAGCTCTTGTCTTTTGCTGGTAGGCTAACACTGGTCAAATCAGTTATGGATAGTTTACCGGGGTACTATATCTCCATTTTCAAGTTGCCCAAAGGAATAGCAAAGGAAATTGATAAGTTGAGGGCTGCTTTTTTATGGGGCAGTTCTGAGTTACGGAGGAAGATTCATATGGTAAAGTGGAAGGATGTAACACTTAGTAAAGATAAGGGAGGGCTGGGTATAAGGAAGGCTAAGGAATCAAATGACTGCTTGTTACTAAAGTGGTGGTGGAGGTATGGGGTGGAGGATGAGTCACTGTGGAAGAGGGTTATTATCAGCAAGTACGGGGCTGATGGAGGCAGGTGGCCCCCAATACAGAATGGGGAAGGTAAGGAATCTGTTGTGTGGAGTGATATCCTGAGTATGGCTGCATTAAATCCTGAGTTGTACCAATTTTTTGTTTCAAAACTACAGATTGTGGTAGGGAATGGGAGTAGGATTCTGTTTTGGCATGATAGGTGGTGCATGAATTTGAAGTTGAAAGAGGAATTTCCCAGGTTATTTAGGCTTTCTATGGAGAAAGAAGAAAAGCTCAGTTACTTTATGCAGAGAAGGGATAGTGATGGTCCTTGGAGTCTACAGTTTAGAAGACCTCTGTTTTCTTGGGAGGTAGAGGAGGTAGGAAAGCTGCAAGAGTTAACTAAGGATGTCCCCAGGTTGGATGACAATCTGTGTG